GGAGTAGAATTATTTATTTCAATGAATGTAATCGATTAGATATCATAATATTTAGGCTGTAATATTATCAGTTTGGTTTGTATTGGTGACGTAAAATGTAAATGATATGCGTGCGGCCCGTGAGACTTGCACTTGGACCATAGTGCGGCCCAGTGGAAAACAAGGTTGAGAACCACTGCGCTATAGAAATAAAGGTGACTTGACTTGGCGGTGACTGAATGAGAGCAGAATCCGTCTCTGTGAGTGTGTTTATGTTTATCTCCGTGTCAGGTGCTGATGTCGAGCTGCTCGCTGTGCCGCAGCTGTAATTCTCTGGTGTATGATGAGGAGATCATGGCGGGCTGGTCGTCTGACGACTCTAATCTCAACACCACCTGTCCGTTCTGCTCCGCGCCGTTCGTGCCGCTGCTAAACGCAGAGATCTGTGACCTGGGGCCCGTCTGCAGGTAACGCAGAGCTGCTAGAACTAACACCAGATTTAACATTGTTACTTCAAATAAAATAAACATTAACTGAAATAAAATTACATTTATTTTAAAAAAGCAGCATTTCTCATTTTCATTTAATTTACATTTTTTTCAACTGCTTACACACAAAATCTTTACTTGTCACACAGTTTCTGAAAGCTGACACTCAAACAGCAGAAGCACACACCAAATCTGCAAAACCATAGTCGTCTGATGACTCTAATCTCAACACCACCTGTCCGTTCTGCTCCGCGCCGTTCGTGCCGCTGCTAAACGCAGAGATCTGTGACCTGGGGCCCGTCTGCAGGTAACGCAGAGCTGCTAGAACTAACACCAGATTTAACATTGTTACTTCAAATAAAATAAACATTAACTGAAATAAAATTACATTTATTTTAAAAAAGCAGCATTTCTCATTTTCATTTAATTTACATTTTTTTCAACTGCTTACACACAAAATCTTTACTTGTCACACAGTTTCTGAAAGCTGACACTCAAACAGCAGAAGCACACACCAAATCTGCAAAACCATACGCTAATTCTGGACCTTTGACTCATTTCATAAAACACTTTTGCAAAACACAACACACGATTCTCTATGTAACACACACAAATCTAACAGGAATTAATATTATGGCAAAGGTGTTTGCAAACGTTGCTTTTGAGATGTGTTTGTGATATTTTGAATGCAGTGCTTCATTTTGCAAGAGACGAGTGAGGCATTTTGCATTTTGTGTGCAGTTCTCGGATTTATGTGTAAAGTTTTGAAAAAAAGAGACAAAGTTTTGAAAATGTGTGTATAAGCAGTTGAAAAAAACTGTACCAAAGCATCAGGGAACATTGGTTTGAGCACTGAACTTCATTTGAGTAGCTTGTGTTTTTCTATGGTTGTGTTTGTTTGGCATTCTGACCATTGTCAGTAATGAATTGTGTAAGGGAAACAGGTCAATTTGGCTCAAAGGGAATCATTTAAGATTTTAAAGGGAACTCCACCAATAATATGTAAGGGAATTTGGACAGAATCACTGTTTTACGGCTGATCACTGAGACGGCCAGCGATTCAGTGAACGAGCCGTATGACATCAATTCTGCAATGTATATTTATATCCAAAATATAGTGAAAACACTATTAATTAGCACAGTAACAAGATCGGCAGTTTAAGACATTAACTTATAAGCACAAAACACAAGATACTTCTCTTTTCAATAAGAATAAGACTTTATTGGATAAATCTAAGACATATAAACTAATCTAACACATAAACACACGCATTCA